TGGGGAGAGCAAACACCAGCGAGCTGCTGAGCTTTGGGGTCAGCGTGGTGCCTTGGGAGGGCTGGCCTAGAACAGAGATTAGACAGCTCAAGAGTAAATCTGGGATTTATTAAAAGGATCTCAATGGGCTGCCCAATCCACCTTGGGCAGCACAAGAGCCCAGCCAGGGCTGCACCCAAATGAACCAAAATGGTGACAAAATGCATGACTGGCCATGGGGTCTCTCACTTGTGGAAGTTCTGCTCCATTTGCACCTTGGAGTTCATTGTCCAATTCAGCTTTAGCCCAGGCAGTCCCATCCCTGTTTTTCTCTCTCCAGCCCACGGTGTTTGTGCTCTTGGGCTGAGATCTGGATAACCTGTCCTTGGTGCCCAGCTGGAGAAGGAATTGTTTTGTCTCCCTGCTCTGTGAAGAGAACTCACCATCCCCTAATGTGAAGCCCAGACCCACCCACTAAAGCAGAATAGAATGTGAAAATATAAAAGCTCAACCCTGAGGCACCAAGGGGTCACTGAAGTGGAGCCTCTGCCTTCATTCCCAGGGCAGAGACAGAGTCACCACCCCAGCTGGGCTGGGGGCAGAAACCACCTTGGAGCTGCCAGCCCAGCCCGCTGGTGGAAGCTCGGGGCAGGGAGGGGAAATGCAGCTGAGCCCAGTGGGAAGAAATGATGATGTCCGACTCCAGTGCAGGAGGCTGAATGATTTCTTTATTATTGAAATGTAAACTTTAAGGAATTTCGAGATTTTAGAGGAGCTAAGATTTTAGTTAGAAATAAGCCTTACTAGAGTTAATTGAAATAATAATAATAAATGAATAGGCCTTGATGAAGTTAGTAGTTAAGTAATAATTGATTGCTTGTCAGCACAATGTTTAGTTAGCTGGGTTTATAATGAAGAATACACAAACTGACAAATAGCTTTTAGGAACATAAGACAATTGTGGGGCTCCTCTGTTCTGAAACCAATTGAGGACAAGGAATGGGAGTTCTACCAAGAGTTCATTTGTCAGATTGGCATTGAAAAGTAGAAAGGTCAGAAGGAGGAAGACTTCATTGACTTCCTCATTTTGGGGCCCCTCCCCATGAAAGGGACACCGACCCATTTCAAGGAACAAACTTCATGCTGAGTGGCTTTTGAAGTGATTAACATACAAAGTGAGGAATGGGATGTACCAAAATGATGAATATGGATTTGTATTTTGGGTATTCAATACTTGTATGGATAAAAGACTCTGTAATCACCTGGAAGCTGCGGTGTGGATTTGGGAGCGATCCTACACACAATAAACACACACTTTTAACTTTAAACTGTTAGAGAGTTTTTGTCCCTCACAGTTGGATATTGGTACCAGACCAATATCCATATTTTTTAATAAATCATTGTAACTATGCTATAATACATTAATAGTCTATTTAAAGGAAGATACTAAAACCACAAACCTACTTTTTCTACCTACCATATCTAACTCACAACTTGTGCCCCTCTCTGAGAGCCCAGCCCCAGGTGGGTTGGATTGGCCACCAGGCTCAAACAATCCTCACCAGAATCCAACCAAGCAATCACCCCAGGTAAACAATTCTCCAAACTCATTCCACATGGGAAAAACAAGGAGCACAAATAGAAATTGTTTTCTCTTTCTTTCCTCTGTGCTCCTCTATGAAAAAATCCTGAGAGAGAGAAGGATGTGCCTGGCACAATTCTTAGCTAAAAAGAAGTGAAGTGTGTGTCCTGGTGAGGGGGATCCCTGCTGCACAGGGAATGTGGCATCGCAGGGGAGCTGTGGCTGTGCCACAGGGAGCAGCTCCAGGGGAGCCTGGCACTCCATCGGGCAGGGCTGCTGGAAAATCTGCCCTGCCCCGCTCTGCTCCTGGCTCCAGCCCCCAGCACGGGCCCAGGAGTGCTCTGTGCCTCTGCTGGTGTCTCAGTCAGTGGGGGAAGAGCCACCCCGGGGTTTCAGGGGCTGCCATCCCTCTCCTGATCTGAGGAGTGGTGGGAGGAGGAGCAGGAGGTGCTTTTTGTGAGGTGCTCTGGGGGTCTCTGAACCCCCTTTCTTCCCCCCATGGCCTTTCCCACCCAGCTCTGCTCTCCTGCCCTGCCCAGCTCTGTCACTCCCTGTCCCAGCTGCTGTCACTGGGGGGTGACCACAGCTGCTCTGAAGTGCTGCAGGAACCTGTTCATGTCCTCTCTGTCCCCTCTTCTCCTCCAGTGACATTTGTCTGCTCATTCCCACCTTCTGTGGATGCTCCTGGAGCTCCAGGTGCCTGGAGCTGGTGTCCCCCTGCTGCCAGAGGGGAAGGTGGGCAGCAGGGCTGGAGGTTCTGCTGGATTGAGCAGCAGAAACCTGGGGAAAGGGCCTGTTCCAGGACAGGATTTATCTGGCAGATTTTCATCCAGAAGCGTGGACCTCCAGCCTCTGGACCAAATTCCTCTTGCTGGGAGAGCTGCAGGAGGGGGTTCCCTCTGTCACCCCCGCCTCAGCCACTCAAAGGAACGAGGAACTCCCCGAAATTTAGCTTAAAAATATCAGCTGCAGGTGGCTGCCCTGGCTGCATGTGCTGCCTCCTGCTCTCCCTTCCCTTCCCTTCCTGGCCAGGTGTCCCCTTGTTCGGTGTCTGCTGCCACCCCCAAGCTGCAGTGTGGCTGATGGATGGGGCAGATGGGGCAGTCTGTGCCAACCCCTGTGCCAACCCCTGCCCAGGGTCCCTGCCCTGCAGCCCTGGGCTCACTCAGCCCCCCTCTCTCCCCAGTCCCAGGGCTGCTGCTCCCTCTGGTGCTGCCCAGCCTTTGTCAGTCTCCCTGCAGATTTCCAGCGTGTTGTAAGGCAGCTTCCATTTCCAATTACCCTCTGCTGACCACGGCTGGGATCTGCCACGGGCTCTGAGCCGCATCCTGGCCCCACAGCAGAACCATTTTCCTTTAGGAGCGCTCTGGGCTTTGCAGGATTTTGCTGTGGCAGGAGCTCTGCCCTTGCCAGCTTTGCCGGGGCTCTGCCAGATTTCCCTGTGATTTTCAGGACGATTATCCTCGTTTCTCTGGGCTTTGCTGTGTGCAGCGTGATGCTCCTGCCCATCCCCGGGGCTCTCCAGCTCCGTCCCTCTGCTGGGCTGGCATCAGGCTCCACTCCCGGCTCCCTCCCTCTCTCCTGCCCTGTCCAGCCTCCTCCTGCTCTGCACTCACATTTCCCATAGGGAATTCCCAACACAAGCAAAGGGAAAACGCTGCAGCCACTTGTGTTGGCTCCTGCCTCTGTTTCCCAACCTTCCTCACTTTCCTTGCCGCTTAGAATATCGGGGGCAGCTAATTAACTCCAGGGATAATAATTATCCTCTCATCCATCCTCTTCACTCCTCCTGGCTTTCCCTTCCCGGCCCTTGCCGGTGCGGATCCTCCCGGGTGATTCCTCCGAGGAAATCGGGGTGTGGAGGGGGAGCGGGACCCTGATCCGTGTTAACCCCTGCAGCCCCGGCTGGGAGCAGCAGAGGACCTCGCAGGCAGCCAGGACCGTGATGGGAGCGCGGAGCCGGCAGCTGCATTAGGGAGCGGGGCGGCCCCGCAGCGTCCGGATGGAAATTTTAGTGGGAAAACGGGGAAAGGAGCTTGGCTTGGCTGCGGGAACCTGGGGATTTGGGGGGGAGCTGGATGTCGTTCCTCGTGTGCATGGGGTGGGGAGGGAGCGCTGGGGGTCCGGCACAGGGCGGGGGAGGAGGAGGAGGAGGAGGAGGAGGAG